TTGGAAAAATGGCCATTTTGGAACTAAAACCATGGGTTAACCCCTTTGGTAAAATGTCAATTTTTCGAGTTTTTGAACTTCTTGTTTTTATAGCCTAGAAAGGCGTTTTTTCGTTCTACAATATCATAAAAGACATTTTCCTGGGCTATATTACCGAAAAAATAAAACTTGAAGAAATTGCCATATTAGGACGAAAACCATGTGTTAACCCCTTTGGAAAAATGTCAATTTTTCGACTTTTTGAACTTCTTGTTTTTTTAGCTTAGAAAGGCGTTTTTTCGTTCTAGAATATCATAAAAGACATTTTCCTGACCTATATTGCTTAAAAAAAGAAAGTTGGAAAAATGGCCATTTTTGGAGCAAAAATATGGGTTAACCCCTTTGGAAAAAAAAAAAAAAAGTTTAAAAAAATGGCCATTTTAGGACCGAAACCGTGGGTTAACCCCTATGGAAAAATGTCAATTTTTCTACTTTTTGAACTTCTGGTTTTTATAGCCTAGAAAGGAGTTTTTTTTGTTCTAGAATATCATAAAAGACATTTTCCTTGCCTATTTTGCCTAAAAAAAATATGTTGGAAAAATGGCCATTTTTGAACCAAAACTCTGATTAACCCCTTTGGAAAAATGTTAATTTTTCGAGTTTTTGAACTTCTTCTTTTTATAGCCTAGAAAGGCGTTTTTACGATCTAGAATATTATAAAATACATTTTCCTGGCCTATATTGCCTAAAAAATTAACGTTGGAAAAATGGCCATTTTTGGACCAAAACCATGGGTTTTAACCCGTTTTGAAAAATTTCAATTTTTCGACTTTTTCAACTTCTTGTTTTTTTAGCCTGGAAAGGCGTTTTTTCGTTCTAGAATAACATAAAAGACATTTTCCTGGCCTATATTGCCTACAAAAAAAATTTGAAAAAATGGCCATTTTTGGACCAAAACCATGGGTTAACCCCTTTGGAAAAATGTCAATTTCTCGAGTTTTTGAACTTCTTGTTTTTATAGCCTAGAAAGGCGTTTTTTCGTTGTAGAATATCATAAAAGAGATTTTCCTGGACTATATTGCCTAAATAAAAAAGTTGGAACAATGGCCAATTTAGGACCAAAACCATGGGTTAACCCGTTTCGAAAAATGTCAATTTTTCGGCTTTTTGAACTTCTTGTTTTTATAGCCTAGAAAGGCGTTTTCTCCTTATAGAATATGATAAAAGATATTTTCCTGGCCCATATTGCCTAAAAAAGAAAAATTGGAAAAATGGCCTCTTTAGGACCAAAACCGTGGGTTAACCCCTATGGAAAAATGTCAATTTTTCTACTTTTTGAACTTCTGGTTTTTATTGCCTAGAAAGGCGTTTTTTTGTTCTAGAATATCATAAAAGGCATTTTCCTTGCCTATTTTGCCTAAAAAAAAAATGTTGGAAAAATGGCCATTTTTGAACCAAAACCGTGATTAACCCCTTTGAAAAAATGTCAATTTTTCGAGTTTTTGAACTTCTTGTTTTTATAGCCTAGAAAGGCGTTTTCTCCTTCTAGAATATCATAAAAGACATTTTCCTGGCCTATACTGGCTAAAGAAAAAAAGGTTTTAAAAATGGCCATATTTGGACCAAAACCATGGGTTAAACCCTTTGGAAAAATGTCAATTTTTTGACTTTTTGAAGTACGTGTTTTTATAGCCTAGAAAGGCGTTTTGTCGTTCTAGAATATCATAAAAGACATTTTTCTGGCCTATATTGAATGAAAAAAAAAAGTTGGAAAAACGGCCATTTTTGGCCAAAACCATGGGTTTACCCCTTTAAAAAAATGTCAATTTTTCGACTTATTGAACTGCTTGTTTTTGTAGCCCAGAAAGGCGTTTTTTCGTTCTAGAATATCATAAAAGACATTTTCCTTGCCTATTTTGCCAAAAAAAAAAAAATTTGGAAAAATGGTCCTTTTTGGACCAAAACCATGGGTTAACCCCTTTGGAAAAATGTCAATTTTTCGACTTTTTGAACTTCCTGTTTTTATAGCATAGAAAGGCGCTTTTTCGTTCTAGAATATCATAAAAGACATTTTCCTGGCCTATATTGCCTAAACAAAAAAACTTGGAAAATTAGCCATTTTTGGACCAAAACCATGGGTTAACCCCTTTGGAAAAATGTGAATTTTTCGACTTTTTAAACTTGTAGTTTTTATAGGCTAGAAAGGCGTTTTTTCATTCTAGAATATCATAAAAGACATTTACCTGGCCTATATTGAATGAAAAAAAAAGTTAAAAAAATGGCCATATTTCGACCGAAACCATGGGTTAACCCCTTTGGAAAAATGTCAATTTTTTGCCTTTTGAACTTGTTGTTTTTATAGCCTAGAAAGGCGTTTTTTCGTTCTAGAATATCATAAAAGACATTTTCCTCGCCTATATTCCCTACAAAAAAAAATTTGAGAAAATGGCCATTTTTGGACCGAAACCATGGGTTAACCCCAATGGAAAAATGTCAATTTTTCTACTTTTTGAACTTCTGGTTTTTATAGCCTAGAAAGGCGTTTTTTTTGTTCTAGAATATCATAAAAGACATTTTCCTTGTCTATTTTGCCTACAAAAAAATATTGGAAAAATGGCCATTTTTGAACCAAAACCGTGATTAACCCCTTTGAAAAAATGTCAATTTTTCTACTTTTTGAACTTCTTGTTTTTATAGCCTAGAAAGGCGTTTTTTCGTTCGAGAATAACATAAAAGACATTTTCCTGGCCTATATTGCCTACAAAAAAAAATTTGAAAAAATGGCCATTTTTGGACCACAACCATGGGTTAACCGCTTTGGAAAAATGTCAATTTTTCGACTTTTTGAACTTGTTGTTTTTATAGCCTAGAAAGGCGTTTTTTTGTTCTAGAATATCATAAAAGAGATTTTCATGGCCTATATTGCCTAAAAAAAAAAGTTGGAAAAATGGCCATTTTTGGACCAAAACCATGGGTTTTAACCCCTTTGCAAAAATTATCAATTTTTCGAGTTTTTGAACTTGTTGTTTTTATAGCCTAGAAAGGCGTTTTTTCGTTCTAGAATATCATATAAGAGATTTTCCTGGCCTATATTGCCTAAAAAAAAAATTGGAAGAATGGCCATTTTTGGACCAAAACCAGGGGTTAACCCGTTTGGAAAAATGTCAATTTTTCGATTTTTTGAACTTCTTTTTTTAAAGCCTAGAAAGGCGTTTTTTCCTGTAAGAATATCGTAAAAGATATTTTCCTGGCCCATATTGCCTAAAAATGAAAAATTCGAAAAATGGCCATTTTTGGACCAAAACCGTGGGTTAACCCCTATGGAAAAATGTCAATTTTTCTACTTTTTGAACTTCTGGTTTTTATAGCCTAGAAAGGCGTTTTTTTTTGTTCTAGAATATCATAAAAGACATTTTCCTTGCCTATTTTGCCTAAAAAAAAAATGTTGGAAAAATGGCCATTTTTGGACCAAAACCATGCGTTAACTGAGGGTCTCAATGGGGCTAACCGATAGGCGTAAAACGGCCAAAAATTTAACCGTTAGCCGTAAATAGCGTAAAAAAGAGTTAACCGTAAAAGAAAGTGTTTCTTAGATTTGCTACTTTTAAGGAAGGTACTGAACTCACTTATGGTTGTGTTTTTTATTTCCCTTCTTTGAAATGCCATGATATGTTTGGTTATGCTTTAGGTGTAGTAGAAATTTAGCCTTCGTAGACTATTAAATATTTGTCTTAGATAGTATTTTGAAATTCGTTTTTAGTTTTTTTTTACTTTAAGCATTTCTTGAGTAGAAGAATGTCGTTCTCATCAACTCTCGAATTTGATTTTTTTCATAGCTTTCTTGGCCTTGAAAGATTGTTAGTTTGTGAATTGACCTGTTTGAAAAGAGGTTAACGCATGATTTTTGTCCAAAATGTGATGTTAAGTAATGTTCTCGATATAAAAAAAGCTTTTCTAGACTATGAAAATATCGTTCTTATACTGATTATATATATATATAGGCCACTTTAAAAAGTTCCATATTGATCATAGTCACAAAGAGAGCATATCTATGTGGTTTATTTATTGATGTCCTAAGGGGAATGCTGAACATTATTAGCTATAAGCAAATCATTGATATTGTCAGAGGCGTAGCTAGGCGGGGTCCTGGGGTGCCCGTGACCCACCCTTGGTAGGCCTTCTTTTGAGCAAACAACCTACAATATTCAGGTGGCAAAAACGCCATGACAATATCTTGGCCGTAAAAGCCATTAATGAAAAGCCCACTTTTTTTAAATTTGTTTTTTTGTAAAGTATTTTCGTCAACGGCTCTTGTCTTTAGTTAATATGAGCCTTCATGCCGCGATAATACGACTGAGCCCGCTAATACACGAGGGAGAGCAGCGATATAAACCATATATAGTCGGCGATCCCCGGATGGTGACTCCCCTTTGAAAAGTCCTGGCAACGCCCCTGATTGTCTCATTATCCTAAGAAAGGCCAATCGTTTTCTTATGTTCATCATGTTGCCTCTGATAAACGTTGTTATATGGTTAAGGTTTTCAGCAGCTGCTTTCCCTGCTAAATTCTGTTTACGACTACGATCGTTGTTATTAAAGTAACGCTAGTGGGAACCACGCCAAAAAGACTAAGTGATGTAAAATAGACACATGATCCGGAAACAAGAAAATGTTTAATGAGACTCTTTAAAATATAATTTGAAAAAACACAAAAATAATTACAACTTTATATTAATAATCACATTTAAGTTCACATAACAAAAATTCGTGATTTAATCATTCAACGCTCCGAAGCTTCAGCCTGACTTGTACCTGATGAACAAAAGAAAAAAGAAATAGAATAAGTCATTTAAAAACTAGTTTTAGTAGCTTAGTACGTAACTATAAAGAAAATATTGTATTTTAGCATTGACACTGTAGTAAAGTGGCTAGCAAGCAGCTCTTCCTTATCCTTGAATTTGTAATTTCACAGTTAACAGCACTTAGTAGCATCATTTCGAGCATAGTACTTTCCCCCCGAAAATGGAAGCACAGCTTTGTACTCTGTGTGTGAGAAAAAGTGAGACAAATGTTATCAGAACATCAGAGAATTTCTGGTCGCCATTAAATCAATGACGCATTTGTAAGATTGATTTGATTGTAGCTGATTGTCAAAATCCACGGGTAAATCGATGTCAAATAAAACTGGCCTTTGAAAACGTTGTTGCATGGATCTGGACAAAACCTTGTTGCTCCTGGCATTTCCATAATATAAGCAATATTAGTGGAGAGGACTTAAGGAGTTCTGGAAAATCACAAGAGGAATGATACGGATTCCTCGCGAGGAAATGATAAACAACTGAAAATTATAACATTTTTTTAAACTAGTATGTGATCAGGGGTATCAGTGACGATTATGGTGGGAAAGACGATGACGATAACAATGATGTTAATGGTAAGGACAGTGGTAATGAAGATGATGACGATGATGATGACAGTGAAGGTGATGATACCTGTGATAATGAAAAGGATGAAGACGATAATTATGATGCAAAAGACGATGATGCTGACGATCATGACGAAGATAACAATACAAATAACGTTAATGATAGAGGTAGTTATGACGAAGATGATGCTGATGATTCCGATGAAAATGACGATAATACTGATAATGATTATGATAATGATGCTGATAATGACAGGATGATGTCGACTTCACCAACCTGTCAGATGTTGACCAACTTGGTCCAATGAAATAAGACGGTTGAGCTTGATGGGGGTCATAGAAGGCAGGGCTCACTGTGTAAAAAAGAATTTTTCGTCAGTAAGCTGTGACACTTATGGCTTTAATATTTTGAAACGTGCATGCAAATGACTGGGATGTCTTTTACAAGTGCAAACTTAACTCTGTTCCTTACTAAGTTACATGTAGATATACAAGAAATTATATCTAACAAATTATAAACATACAAAATTAAAACTCGATCTACTAGTCGCGGTTACGATCCATTGGCATTGCCGGTTTAGTATTCGTGATAAATATAGTGAAAGTTTGGAGCCGTTCCATTGGATCCATTTGTCATGAGTAAAGTCCCCTGGAGTCACAAGCGTTCAATTTGTGAGAGACTACTTATTCGATCTAGCTAAATACCTCTTGGCTGTAGATTCTGGGGATGATTTAAGACAGATGGATTATTCTGACGTCTGGATCGACGTCGTGGTCTGACAGGGTGTGGCATGGCTGGAGCTGCTATGGGGGCCACATCGTACTCAGGAGGAGCAATCATGGAGGCATTCGCTCTGTTCTGTAATCAAAAAAGATTAGAATGGAGAATGTAATAAGTAGGATCCGGTCGATATTGGTGTTCGTTCGAAATTATTTTTCTTGAGAGTACTAAAGTGAAAAAAAACCCTTTTTGTTATTTCGATAAATAACTAACCCTTTTTGTTGTTTTGATAAATTTTCAGTCATTTTAAATATTCGTTTAAATATCGTATTAGAGTAGTAGCATTAATAAAGTTACTCGGTTTATTGTTACGACAAAAAACGAGTCCTTGGAGGTGTAAGTACTTTTAGGCTGTTGTTTTGTTCGTTTCTTACGAAGAAAAGAAAAAAATACCTATACTCCAGTGGCTGTAATGTAGAAATTAGCATACTTTAAATAAAACTATTGCAGGATGCACAGCCAGTCAAACGGTATTCTTCTTTTTTGTAGGGAGGTTCCAAAAAGAGAGATGATGCGTTTTTGACGGAATCCTCAGAGAGCTGCTCTAATGGCATTTCTGAGCTAAAAAGGAAATTTCATGTAATATCTTTTGCTGATAAGGTCAATATCATTTCTGAAAATATACTAACCTGAAAATCGGCAGGGACAAAGTCTTTTGCATAAACGTTCAAAGAATGCCTTCCTCCAGTAATTCTGTGTGAAATAAAAATAGTTAACCTGGCGATTGTCAGCTACATCAATTCTAAATTTGAGCGTTTCACTGGCATGCTGTCGCTTGTTTTACTGGGCATGTTCATGTTGCTATAAAAACTGGGTGAAAAGAAGTGTACGGCAAGAAGGCCCTAGAGGGCGGAATAACTTGTCATTTGTGTTACTTGACATCATTGTAGTGGGAAAGTAACGAACGTTACTCCCGCGCATATTCTTCTTGCTTGACTTTTTCTTAGTTCTCCTAAATGATACTCTTCCTAAGTGCACAATATAGAAATAAAATAAAATACATACCCAAACTCCGTTCTGTCAAAATCGTCTGTTTGATTTTCCCCCGTTGCTTGAAAGCGTGGAATAAATGTATCGGCGTCAGGGTTCAATATATGACGTTGGTCGCCCTGTCTAGCAATGCTGAAATATTAAAAACAAACGACAGACAACGGTTACCAACACGTTCTTGTTTACCTGGAGTCCTGTTACGTTCAAAGGTCAAAGAAAAACAGGCCAAGACTCACTACAAGTGAGTCAAGTTGATATGCTATGAAGTTGTAATGTTGCTTCTTAAAAGGACCCGTAGACTATCATCTATACCTAACATTACCCAATTGGTTCTCATAAATGGATATAACGTCCTTTTTAAATAAATGCGCAATAGAAATGCAAAGTATGATTTATACCCAGGCTCCAGTTTGACAAAAACGTTTGTTTCAAATGCGCGAGTTGCTTGAAAGCACGGGATGAATTCATCCGCGTCAGGGTTTAAAACATGGTGTTGCTGGTCAACTTGTCCTGCAATTCTGAAAAATATAAAAGACGTTAGGCGACAATAAACAGCAAGATCCAGTTTGCTTTTCAAATTAACAGCAAAGAAAAGCAGGCCAATACTCAACGCAAGATTTCAAATTAAAGGGATCAAGCTTCTAGTGAACTCTTTTATTGGTTTTTTTTCCTAACTTAAATGATCACAGGCTAGTGTGAAAAGAGGAGAAGGCCTAAAATGAATCACTGTACGACTCCTCGATGCGAGGCTGGAAAGCAGCTAAGAGACTTAACAGATTCGTCTACGTTCTGATAGGGAAAACCTGAAGCAGTTTGTTGCAGTTGAGCTAGTGCGATACTTAGCAAGCTTTTCATAGGGATAGCTTTTAAAATCGAGGTCACTGTTTTTCAGTGACCTACGAGTTGGGTGAATCTCAGAATGGCTGTTTACATGTACATGGTGGTAAGACAATCCTAAAGGACCAAAGAACTTTTCTTTTGGTTTACACGCACACATTTTTGTGAAATATCTCAGTTAGCTCTCATAAATGAGTAAGTTCCCACGAGCGCAATAGAAATAAAATATAAAACATACCCATGCGCCGGTTCGGCAAATTTGTCTGTTCCAAAACCGCTAGTTGTTGAAAAGCGTGTGATGAATTCGACTGCTTCAGCGTTTAAGACATGTTGGTCTACTTTTCCGACAACGCTGAAATATGTAAAAGACCACAGGTAACGGTAACCACCAAATTCCAGTTTTCCTCCTGTTTACACGCAAACTTTCTAATTGGAAGCTCGGGACTTTCAAGCGCCTATTTATCCTGTTTGTCTTCCTCTATTTATATATCAGTATAAACTAAGCCTAATTCAGAGAACATAATTATGTCAACGAGCTGTTACGCCATAACGTTTTATTTATTTACTTCCCAAAGAACCGGAATTTTTAAAGTCCATATCATGAAACACCTTGTAAAGTTCTCATGCATGATTACCATCCTAGGCCGAGTGCAACTACAGTAATTTATACCCAAGATCCATTCCGCTGAAATCCTTTGTTTCAAATCCCGCGTCATGCAGTTAAAACGCTGAGGCCAGCAACACAACACAAGGTAAATTCCAACAACTTTTTTAAAAACGTGTTGGCAATTAACTTGCGCTGTGTTGCTGGAATATAGAAGACACCAAACAAAGGTTACAAACATTGGTTCGATTCCAGCTTGTCTAAATACGTTTCAACCGAAGCCCAAAAAAAGAGGCTCAAATTCAGTACAATATTTCAGTGCACTTAATACTAAAGACTTCGTACTGTAATCTTGAATTTCGCCGGGATTAACATTGTGAGGGATCAAGAAATCGATCACTCCCTCTTAGCATTCTGTTAGGGGAAGGTCTTACCAAGTTAGTCCGAATGCTCTGTTTGGCATAGTCTTCTTTCCAATAATATCATCGTTGGGATCTGGGCATTCAGCTGCATACATTTCAACCTGAAGGCACAAAAATACATATTAAAACAAAGTAGTTCCTAGAACAACTTTTAAACATGATACATGGGTGGGTGTAGTTTGTTTGTATGTATTTTTGCAAATTTAAAGCTGCAGATTCATAGTTTGGAAAGAGACCCAACGTGGCCTTGATTATACTCAAATGGCTCCATCAGACCTTGTGCTTCAAGGCTAAATTAGCACTCTGGAGTCGAGGCAGATCTTTTTAATTTACAATGTACAAGAGGATTTCGTTACCATCAAGCAATCACTCAAAAGTATTTGAACTGTCGGCCTGCAATTCAGTCTGAGTGAGGCATGAGTGATCAGTCACAGTCTCTATTTCTAAACGAAATTAAACGACCTCACTTACACTCTTCAAGTCCAATGAACTTTCAGGCCAGAGCGTGCAGGATGTTTTTACTTCTGCAGCTGCAGCTTCATTGGAGATCGAAGAAACATCACTGCCGTTTTCCATCTGCAGTGAACATTCTGGGAAAAACGCACTCTCTTTTTTCGTTGAAACTGACTCGCGAGTACTCCTTGTGGAATTTCCCAGCTCGAAAGGAATATCAATGGCGGCTGTAACACTTTGTGGCTCGAAAGAAAGGGCCGGTTTCACTTCTGTGCTCAAGTTATGGACGACACCATAGATGATTTCGTCTTGTACGGGAATGTCAGTAACAGCAGCTACGCCCTCAAACTCGACCTCAATTTCTGGCTCAATTACACCGACGGTTTCCCATTCTAACATGCACTCACTCCCTTCCACTGCACCGCTGATTTTGTCAACAAGAAGGTCAACCGAGGTTTCACTGACTTCATCCATCACTGGATCCTCAGACTCAAGCTCGATCACACTATCAGTCAATTCGCATACAACGGCCTGGATTGTCTCTGCCTCAGATGCAATTTCTTCAACCAAATTGACGCTTTCCAATTCTCTTAAACTGCTGGTAATTACGTCTGCGGCCAAGTCTTTAGCGATCACATTTATACGTTCTTCTTGTCCGAGTACCTCAGTCACCCCACGTAAACTTTCTAACTCGATTGCAAAGTCGGGTACCAATTTTACAGCGCTGTTTTTCTTTTTCGCTTCACCGACCTCGTGTGCGACAACAGAGACAACCTCTTCTTGTAAACATATCTCAGTGACTGCAGTTACATTTTCAAACTCCAAGGCAATTTCTGGTTGAACTGCACTGACGGTTTCCCATTCTAAAAAGCACTCATGGGCTTTGTTGCTGAACTTGTCATCGTCACTAGGCCCAGTGACGTCACTCAAGGTTTCTTTGACGCTTCTATGCACCTCGGGATCTTCAGATTCAGGCTTGATCACACTATCAGTCGATTCGCAGGTGGCCTCTGGGATTATTTTCTCTGCCTCAGATGCAATGTCTTCAACCAAAGAGACGCTTTCCAATTCTCTTAAACTGCTTGTAATTACTTTCGCTGCCAAGTCTTCAGCGATCACATTTAGAAGTTCTTCGCGTACGAGTACCTCAGTCGCCCTACGTAGACTTTGTAACTCGATCACAAAGTCAGGTATCAATTTTACAGCGCTGTTTTTCTCTCTCGCTTCACTGACCTCATGTGCAACAACAGAGACAACCTCTTCTTTTAAAACGATTTCAGCAACCTCTCTTAAACTGCTGCTTATTACTTCAGCTGCCAATTTTTCAGCCATCACATCTTCAGGTGCTAGTCTAGGAACCTGTGAAATTAAAAGTCAATAGCCTTGTAAGGTGTTTTTCTTTGAGAGCAAGGATTGACCTGTGCAAGAGGTCCCGGGTTCGATTTCCTGATGTTACCTCTAATCCTGGTGGGATTGGGGGGTGGGAGGGCTACTCAACTAATTTTTATACGGGGAAGCTCCTCGCCGAGGTTCTACCCCTTACCCTTTTATATACCATTTTTGACAGGAAAGAGTTTTCCAACTTCCATTGCAAAATGGTACCTTTTTGACATGTATTCTCCTATTTAGTAAGTAACGTTTTTCTTTAAGAGCAAGGATTGACCTGTTCAAGATCTGAGGTTCTGGGTTCGATTCCCGGTAGTGACCGCTAATCATGGCCAGCAGGGGGCAGGAGGTTTCTCACCAAAGTCTTATACGGGGAGGCTCCGCTCCGAGGTTCAGCCCCTTTCCCTTTGGATATGCCGTTTTGATAGAAATACCTTTCATTGCAAGAAGGTACCCTTTTTCACATACCTAATTAACAAGTCTTAATGAATCACTAAAAAGGCAAGTTGTCTTGTCATTCTCGTGTAACGTTTAATAAATGAATTATTTAGCCAGAGGGCTGATCTTTTTGAAAAGTTCAATTTTAGTCCCTCTTTAAATAATTGTTACTTGTTAATTTCCCCTACCCTTTCTACACTTCAACTCATGAATTCCCTAATCTTTGATATATCTGAAGCCTAAAAAAGGTATCCCTCCCGTATAAGCCATTATGAGGAGTTCCCCCCTCCCCCGAGAATCCTGGCTAGTGGGACTGTTTTGAGCTACCGACCCTATAAAACCATTTAGTATTGAATTGACTGTTTTGCCATTAATATTGATTTCTATTACTCCAAGACGCAACCTAACCGCTCCGATAATTTGTAATAGCTTTTAATCATCAGGCCCCATTTGTTAAAAGGTTAGACAACTCTATCCACTAGATAAATCTCTATTCAATGGATAACTTATTAGCTTTCCTAACACTTATTCGCAGGATAGTGATTCATCCAGTGGTCTATAGCCCTGTCCGGCTTATGTTTGAACAACTGAGGCCAGTAATGCTTCTTGCTACGTTATCTTTATTTGCTAGAAAGACCCTTACACTGCTAATACTTAATATCTACCTAAAAATAGTTATAGCACTTGAATTAATCATCATCATCAATCTCGTTCCCGCAGACGCGTTTCCCTGTCCGCTGTCCACTGAACAAAGTTAAAGGGGGCTTTAAGAAAGAGATTGCTCGCACATGCGAAGTAGATACAATAGATATAAAAGGAAGAGGTTATACATCTATCAATTAATTTTTACGTAAAACCATTGTTATTACCATTAGTTGCGGCTGATCTGTCTTCCGATGCATACTAAACTGGCTGTCCTTGATCCTAAAAATAGTAAATAAATAAATTTTTTGGCTTAGCCATAAAAGCTAATTATGATTTTGTAATTTTCTAACGTGTGCTGTTAGAGATGTCAATATTCGTGTAAATGAGACCATCTTTTGGTGAGTTCTATTTCGCACATGACCGCAAAAAGAATTTGATCACAATTTCAATGAACTATACGTTGACTTCGAAAAAGGCAATAATTTTCAACGCATCGGCTAAGAAGCGTACAAATTATTTGATTCCTTGTGAGAAAATCAGAAATGGCTAAAAAATGCATGGTTCTCGCAAAGTGCAAAAAATTGTCCATCCGCAAAATTGAAACTCCTGCAAACTTAAAGATCATCCACAAAATTAACGAAATTTTGCTGGCTCGTGCTCAAGTTATGACTAGACTGTGACGTCCTCTCTCGTTACCATGCCAACCGACTGTCAACAATTTTCCTAAGTGCGACTCATAAAAATGAAAAAAAGTTATTTCACGGAAAAAAGGCCTTAAAAGTTCATAAAAAAGACTACTATAATGAAAAAATCAAGTCTATCTTTTCTCTAAATAAAAAGGGAAAAAACTAAATTTGAGAAGAAAAATCATTTCCAAATGGTGGTTAAATTTTCTTGTACTCTTTGCTAAAGCTTGATAAGGCATCCCGCGCAAACAAAATTTTCTGTAGCTGAAATTAACGGTAAAAAACCTGAACTACCTTTGTTGAGGTATCACTTTAACTGCTGTAGGCACCCTTGGGTGAAAACAGAATCTCCAAAGTTTGTTTGCGGCAATGTAGCCGACCCAAAAAGAAGCAAAAACCATCTCGCTACTTTGCAAGAAAGTTTGAAACTTCCATTGATACGTCATAATCATTATCACGTCATTTAAGGAATTTGGAACGCAGCGCGCGTGATTCTTTTTTCTTCGTCATCACTGAACGGCAGTAGAGTCGTTTAAATATAAAGATGTTTTTCGTAACCGAGGTATAACAAAGACAAGTTTCCAAAAACACTCCGGGATTAGGATGCAGCATCCGCTGACTCTGCTAAATCAATCCCGCACAGTGCTTTTGATTTTTTTTTTTTCGCTTATAGATTTTCATAGATTGTGCGACAACACATTTTTGAGGAAAAACACTACTTGCAAACAGTTTGATTGTTCAAATATGCTGAAAATTTTAGTTTTTGTTCTTACCTACCTCCAGTTGCTGCGCAAGTTGTGGCGTTATAGTGAAGATTAGTGAAAAAAGAGGTCCGATAGCACGAGGAGACAAAGCACATCTTTAATTTCGGAATATTTTCTCCGCTCAGGATCAACGGCTAATTTTTCCAGTGCAATATATGCGCGGTGATCTTTTACCAAACGCGCATGCACATCTCGCGTGTCAATTAACTTTTTGCACACGAATGCAAAGATTAACGAACTTTACTTTTGAACGTGTCATTTGTCATCCAAGAAAGAAAGAAGTATCACTGGAATGTTGGAAATCTAACCTGAAACATGTTGTCGTAACTAACAATTTTTATTTCTATCAGCTTTAGTGCTGTTTGTTTTTCGACCAAGACGGCGACTTACAGTCATGATAGTGAGATTGATCGCATGAGCGCAACTCCACAACTGTAATATCTTAAGGCTAATTGCTTACACTATAAGGGAAAACTTTTCGTGCCCACTTAGAAACGCTATTCGGTGCTTTGTGACTTTCCACTTTAGAGATGAGCGCGGCGCAGGGCAGCTTTGCTCCGTTACAGAAATCGCTCCGAAGTCACCAGAACAGAAGAAACCCTGCTATTCGGTATGGTTTAATTCTTGTCGGCGCAAAAGCCAGCCTTGGAAAGACACCAACTGTAAATTTTTACTCTTACCTTACCTGCATTGAAAGATTACAAGCGCGAACTAACTGAAAAGCAGACGCCAAATACGGCCGTTATTATATTCATTCCTCTATTTAATTTTCCTCCCTGGGAACTGACTTTTTTTTTGGGGGGGGGGGGGGGGACTAATGTATTGCTACTAACTATTGGTCACTATTCCGAAATGGTGTATTCCAATCTTTCTGTTTGCTCTGGCTCTGTTGCGCAGGGTGGCCGGGGTAGGGGGGTGTGGAGGAGGCGGGGCTGGCGCATGAGGGCGAAGCAAAGCGCACTTCCGGATAGGGGGATCTTAGGAAGTCGACTTAGATCTAAAGCTCACAACTCACTGACAGCTTCCCAATCAGTTTACGTGAAAAAATAACCACAATATGTATGAATCAAACAATTATCATAAATGACAAGAAATTTATTAAACAGCAAAGTCCCTCTAAAATTGAAACTTTCAAACAAAATATTAATTTATTCTTTCAGACAAATTCACAGTTCTTTCTCGTCCTAAATACTGAAGGTATTTTATTACAAAATAAAAGACTGTTCTTTTAATAACAAGAAATCAAGTCTAAGCATATCTGTACAATAAACTTATACTACAAGCTCCAAACATTTACAAAATTGTCGACGAACAAAGATAAACACGGCCAAGTTTGGAAATACCATCTTGCGTTCGACAGTGGTCCATCGCAAATCTCCTCTAACAGGTCAATTTTCATAGCAAATAAATGAATTGGCTAGACTGAATTCACCCTAGACTAGTTTTTTGTTTTGCCGAATTGATCCAGCAGGTAGAAATTTTTGATGCTATGAAGGTTTGAAAGCAACGAGACTTACAATTTTTGCTACTCGTTGAAAGTTCAAGACGCTGGAGGGGGAGGGGGAAAAATTTTCCTCCCAAGCCCCCCGCCCACGCTCCGGTTTCGGACGCTTAGTGTCGGTCAGAGAGACAACAGTTTTAAGTTCTGTCCTTTTCGTCTTTTCCAAGCCGAATTTATATTTTTTTCCAAAAAGGTACCCGAAACCTCTAAAAAAATTAGTGATTAGAACGTTATAGCTGGTTATGTTAGGTGTTAAGCTGTAAGATTTATGCGGAAGCATTAATTTATAATTTAGAGGTTTCAGGTGCAAAAAAATCGTTCAAATAATTCGTACCCCGTTTTGGTTGAACTGGAAATCAAGCTGTGGTCTACACTGAGCTGACATTTTGAGCTTTACTTTTTCAATAAAAAAATTTAAGCGACTTTTGTCAATTACTTTTGGACTCTCACATGGCTCTTCGAAAAATTACAAATCTTGTCAGGTCAAGGCCTTTTCAGAAAGTATTATTGTGACACAAAAAGGACTTCATTTCGTATTCAAGTTTATGTGAAATCGCAGACAAACTTTGTATCCCTCCCAATTAACTCAATTATCATATTGAAAAAGGAATTTAATAACAAGACTAATTGTGCTTGAGCGGAGAAATGGCTAGTGAAAAAAAAAACTACCTTTGCGAATCCGTTGATACTAGGTTTCTTATTTCACAAACGAGCCCATATTCAGTATAAAAAAAAAACTTGAGCATTGTGCTCTGGTTCTTCAGGTTTTCTCTGCCATTTCAAATTTAATAAAAATTTGAGGTCTCTACAATATATTAAATATTTTTATTTTCGGCTTCAGCTTTCCTTGGTTTTTTATTATCCTTGATATGCAATAGTTTCAACCAGTTTAGGGTCTTGTGTGCAGATGGGCAACTGGACCGGGTCTTCATTCCATTACTCCCAACAGCTTGCGCAGTCCGTAGTTTTGTGCGTCTTTCCTGCCAGCTGTTGAAAAAAAGATAGATGTCTTAATTCTCTTTTCTATTTTCCTTCAGTTTTGATCCTTACAATCATTTCTTCGCCGAATTTTCACAATGTTTTCTTGAAGCATTTGAGAACAGTCACATAGCTTTGAAGATCCATTGTGGAACACCATTGAAAGAGGCACGTGTCTGTAAACGTTATCTTGAGTTCACACCAAGAAAATGTCCTTGGTAAACCGATTTAATTGGCGTTTCATAGGACTGAAGAAAGGTTTAAGTGTACTTTCACTTTTCGTTTAGTTTGCTACCGTAACTAGAAAATCAGTAGACAGCTCTTGTGAATGAATTTAAGTGAACTGATAAATGGATAATTGTCCAATATGGACCCGAGTCTTACTTCTGTATAGATCATCTAAATTATCTGAAACCAGGCGTCAGTCAATCCCATCATGCAACAAGCGATTTCCCCTGGGTCTCAGTTTTCTTGCAAGTTGCTGGGGATACAATGATTCACAACTTTATAAAGAAATGGCATTACATCTTTTCTAGTACTAACCTCTGTTTAACGTGGCCATAGTAAATCCTTCTATCTATCACAGGTACTGACTTCACGCTAAGAAATAAGAGGCTTCCAGACCTAAATGAGAAAAATACTAGAAAACGAAGAGTAGAAGAATTAAATGCATGCAAGCGAGTATTTGTAACTCAAACGTAAAAACTAGATCATTGGACACTGAGTCCCTTTCCCAACGCCTACTTCGTCATGTCTTTGCGCGTGCCAGGTAGGGCCGCTATGTTCTTCTTCGATTCAGTTCTTCTCAGATCTTCTTTCCAAAAAGCAATGCTACCAACAACGAGCAATATAATACAAGCATTACAGTACAAGCACTGTGATAAAAGATTGGTTATATACATCTCTTCTCTTTTACCTTCGATTTTTCTAAATAGTCAATTATTCCGATTTTAAACTCTCTCTTACCTCGAGCACACTGAAAAGATTGAGGATGGATACAGTGGGTTGCTATGGTTACGAGATATAACATCATAATTGACATTTGAGGTCGAGACATTATTTAAACAAAAATAAGACAGTTTGCATTTTTCTGTTTAGAAAGGTAACGAACAACGCTAAAAAGAGCAAACTGCTAACTCATAACAAATCTAAAATTTAAGTACAAAAATGATTAATTTCTAATCTCCATCTGGATAAATCTAAAACTGGCAAACGTTAACCATTCCATATGGCTTAAATCGAAAGATTTTGGCCGTTTTGTTAACCTAGAGATTGCATAATTAGCCCATAGTATCACGCCCGTGAAAAGAGAATTTTAATTTCCAATT